TGATATAAAATAATAAATTTTATTGTTTATTAAAAATGATTATACACAACCGTAGCTACTTTTTTTCTGTAATTAATTTTTTTGATTTTGTAATTGTTATTAATGTACTAATAATTATAAAAGTGCAATTTGTCTAATTATATAATTTTCTAGTAAATTTAATGTAAAAACCAATAAACAATTTTTTTTAATAATAGTAATCATGAATTATATTTTATCATTCTACAATTTTAGCTTTAAATTATCGTTATGTGTCAAAAAAATATTTAAATACAAAAACCAATTTAAAAATTGTAAATACGTTTAATATTATTATTTAAAATCAAAATACTTAAGAGAGGTCGCCATGTTGATTTAATAATTAGAAGTATATTAAATATGGAACTAACGGTAATAGAAGTTGTAGGTCCCCTGCATTGTAGAAATCATAAGAAAAATCAGTGGGATTTTAGAAGAGGTATTAGAGCTTGTAAAGATTCTTATGAAAAGTTTGTTAATAATTTGGTCAAAAAGTATGGCAAATAACGCATTTTATACTAAATTAAAGGTTAAAGTGAAACAGGTGTGAAATTTTTTTGATTTGCATGTATGATAATAAATGGATCTTTGGGGGAACTTACATGTTTGGAAAGTTACAATAGTTGTTTATTTGATTATAAATTGTATAAAAGATGAGTTTCTAACCTTAAACACTATAATTTTTATTTATCTCAAGTTTTCTTATTTTCTCTTCTAGTTTTTCTGTATTTATCTTTAGGCTCTTTTCCAGTTTTTCTATTTTCTGTATGTTGTCATTTTCATTGTCTTGTATTTCATTATTATCGCTAATAATTGTTGGATTTTTTTCTGCTTTTTTAGTTTATCCAATTGTCCTTTTATTTCCTGCATTCTGTTCTCTTTACTATCAAGATCTTCTATTTGCTTTTTTATTTCTTCTAGTTTATTTTTTATCTCATTGTGTTTAGACTTTATATATACTTTTTTTAGACCTTTTGATTTTTCTTTTACTATTAGTATTCTTATATGCACTTCTAGCTCCTCTAGTTCCTTTTTTATTTTTTGTATCCAGGTTTCTCTAACTGGTAATTTTCTATTTTTGACCAAATCTTGAACTTCATTCATTTTATTTATCGGTTCTATTGACTTTTCTATTTCATCCATCTTATTATCTGGAATTATGCTTGTTAGATTCTCTTTTTGATTTTCTAGTGTTTTTATCCTATCTATCTCCTTGACCAAAACTTGAATGTCTTTCATTTTTATTATCTGATATTTTAATGGTTCTATTAACTCTTCCATTTCATCCATCTTATAATCTGGAATTATGCTTTTCAGATTTTCTTTTTGATTTTCTAGTGTTTTTATTGTTCCATCTATCATTTCATTGATTTTTGCATCTGTGCAAGCTGATATATTTTTTAGTTCTTTTATAATTTTGATTAATTTTTTCTTTATATTCTCTATTTTATTTTTCTCAATCATCATTTCATGCCAATGCAGATAAAAAGAGATCAATGTCTCAACTTTATTTGGTTCTTTATCTCCAAGATACGCAAATGATTTGATAATAGATACACCAAGAATTATCCAGGCCATGTCTTTTTCAATAGGATTAGTACTAATTAAATAAAATGTTAAAAATGACAAAAATATTTGCAAAACTAGTCTAGCATATAAAATACCAGAAATTACATGGCAGTTATCAATAAGATTCTCATTAAATGAATTAACGAGAAAAGCAATGAAAATAAAAATATCAAAAATTATACACAAACCCACGGAAACATAGGAAATACGCAAAAAATAACATTCATAGTTTATACAAGACTCATGGGAGAGTATATAATATAAATATGCTGTTGAAATATTAATAATAATAAAAAATAAGAAAACAATAAACTTTGAACATAATAGTGTTGATTTACTTTCATTGTTTTTTTGTATCTCGAGTGATTTATAAAATCTTTTGCATATAGGAAAAAGGAAAATAGCAACAACTATAATCAAAATAAAAATAAAATAACAATATCTATATTAAAATTGAAAACCACTCTATATGCACAACAAGAAGGTATGATTGCAAATAAAATAGTAATAAAATTATCATATAGATTTCTAAAAATACTTGGTTTTTTAAGTAGTTCTTTTACAGCCAATAGAATTATTCTGGTTCTAATTAGGCCATCAAGTGGATCATAATTATTCGATGCCATTTATGAATAAATTGTGAATAAAGAAAATTTAAAGGGTGTAAAAGTAGTGAATTATAATCAACTCTAAGAAAAAATTTATTTCAAGATAAAAAATTTTAAGATTGTATTTAAAGAAAACTTGAAAAGTTTGCACTCTTTATATACACCTTTTATTTTTTTTTCTCTTGAGGCGTACATTAGGGAGGCCTGTATTTAATTGCTTATCATTATGTAATATTAGCTAATGATTAGCTGATGATTAGTCAATAACTGTCAGTGTAGTTATAATTCTTGTATTTTTTTAATGTTTACTTTATATATATTTTGACATTGTGAATTGATTTGTAAGTAAACTTATTTTAAAAAATAGTTAAAAAAATCAATAAACTTTCAAGTCATTTCCATCATGAATGTTAATTATAATAATATGAATATGCTGATTTTTCGTATTTTCCAACTAACTGAAATTGTAAGCTAACGATAACGATAAGGGTTATTACTTAGCCAAAATTATAGTCAACTTAATTAGGAAAAAACTACGTTAATATAGATAGCGCCGTATTTTCCAATTTATTTTAAAGTTGCAAAATCGCCAATAAAATCTGCAATTCTAATTCATTGTTGTTCAAATAAGTCAATAATTTAATTAGGATTCTTTCCTTTTTAAGTTAATTACATCCTCAATTATTCTTTCAAAATTTGTCTAAACAGGTACGTACATGCTTGCTTATAGTACGTACATACCTCTTGCTATTTTTTGTAATAAAATTGATCTCTGGGAATTTTTTCTAAAGCAGGGCTTCGCATTTTGAAAACTATAGTCATCGAATTCCTATCGCATATATAAAATATATATTATATCGATTCTTGGAACAAGAATCTTCCTACAGTACTACTCTAAATATTTACGATAAAGATAAATAATTGGTAGCATTATTAGAAGGCTTGCAACTATATATATATTCAGAATTTCAATAGCATTAGCTTACATTTTTATAATGTCAAGTTATAAAGAAATTGAAGATACAATTAAAATATTACCTAAATTTCATAAACTTGAATCTAAGACTTTTCTTACCAGAAACGTTAATGTATAGTTTTACTGGCATCTAAAACGAAGACAAAATCTTAAAGCTGATTGGTGCACATTTTTTCTCATGATCATTACCTGTTTTATGTAACATAAAATTTTAGAGGT